ATATAAATAAAAATGTAAATGTTTGTTTGTTCAAAATCTTAAATCTCCTAAAGTTCTTCACCGATTGCTTTGAAATTTTGACACAACATTGCATTCAAATACGCGCGTGTTTTTATATACCTACTATTATATAGCTGTCACACCTGTGACAGGTAAAAACATGCTTTTTTTGAGAAACAGCGCCGGCAAACCAAACAATATCTATATCTGCACAGACAATGGAACAACAAAAAATATTGTATACCCACAAGCATTGTGAAATTAAACATATTACAAATGTGCACTTTCTCTTTTCTTTCTTTTCCATTTAACTACACTGAGCTACAGCAATGGGTGGCCGGGTACAGCTAGTAATAAATAATAAAATAGTGGAGATTTTCCTATGAAGCTACAAAATTCATAATATTTTTTTAAACATAGTGAAAACTACTCAATGTACTTTACTTGGGATATCTAATTAATTTTATACTGAGCATTAATTGTATAACTTCTTAAGCTGTGGAGGCTTAAATGCTCGCTCAACTTGCTTGCTTAAAGAAGATTTATTACCCTACCACAGTGATGATTGAACCTTTTAGAGACCGAGTGCCCAAACTGCAACCCAAAACCCACTTATGCATTGTCGGGTGCCAGTGGGTGTGACCCATTGGCTGGGTGTGGCCAATTAGGTGAGCATGGGCCCATTGAGTGGGCGTGGCTGCAGTGGTAAGAGCAGACTGGGTGGGACTAAAAAGTTCAATCAATCAATTCCAACTTTGCAAGATCTTTTTTTTTCCCGCAAAAAGTTGAAATTGACTGATTGAACCTTTTTTTTTTTTTTTTGCATACGGCAACGGAAGCCTAAAGTGAAAAGGTTTTATAAAACCCAGCTGAAGGCCTAGGACTGGGGCGACGGCGTGTGTGCCCACAGAGAAGGTTCTGAATGCCGCCTCTGGCACCTGTGCCATAGGTTTGCCACCACTGCCCTACCAGGTAACATGCTCACACAATCACTGCTGCAAACAAACAGCCAACGTCAGAGAACACCAAAAACTCCACAGAATAAGCTCAGTTCTAAATACAAGTCCTCCTCAGAATTCAAGGAGGTCTATCCCTAACCCTAAGTGGGTTTGCCCCCAATGGGATTTTCCCATGTATTCTACCAGGAAATGTAGATAGGGCGGGTCAGGGTGAAACCTCCTTGCATGCAGAGGGCAAAATGGATGTCGCTAATGGATTCGTAGCCCATTGTTAAGCTTAGGAGGGTGCTGACTTTTCAAGCCTGCCCTATCTGTCTTTCCAGGTGAAATACATGGGGAAATCCCATGGGGAAGGGACAAACCCACAGGGTTAGAGTTAGGTCTCCTTGAATTCGGACAGCAAAATGGATGTTGCCAACAGACTTGTAGCCCATCGGTATGCTTAGGAGGGTGCTGACTTTTTGAGCCTGCCCTCTCTACCGATGGGCTACAAATCTATTGGTGATGTCCATTTTGCTCTCAGAATTCAAGGAGACCTAACCTTAATCCTAAGTGGGTTTGCCCCACAATGAGATTTTCCCATGTATTTTACCAAGACATATAGATAGAGAGACATAGGGTTAGGTCTCATTGAATTCAGACAGCAAAATGGACCTCACCAATGGATTCATAAGCCATTGGTATGCTTAGAAGGGTGCTAATTTTTCGAGCCCGCCCTATCTACATTTCTTGGTAAAATACATGGGAAAATCCCATTGGGAGCAAACCCACTTAGGGTTAGGGTTAGGTCTCCTTGAATGCAGACAGCAAAGTGGACATCCCCAATGGATTCATAAGCCATTGGTATGCTTAGAAGGGTGCTAATTTTTCAAGCCAGCCCTGTCTACATTTCTAAGGAACTACCAATAGGCTATGAATCCATTGGGGATGTCCATTTTGCTGTCTGAATTCAAGGAGAGATAACCCTAATCCTAAATAGATTGGCCCTCTAATGGGATTTTCTCGTGTATTTTACCAGGAAATGTAGATAGGGCGAGTTAGGATTAGGTGCTCTGAATTTCAAGAGCAAAATGGACATTGCCAACTATTTTGTGGCTCATCATTATGCTTAGGAGTGAGTTTACTTTTCGAGCTTGCCCTATCTAAATTTTCTGGTAAAATACATGGAAAAATCCCATTGGGGGGCAAACCTGCTTAGGGTTGGGGTTAGGTGTCCATGAATTCAGGGAGCAAAAGGGATGATGCCAAAGGGATTCATAGGCCATAGGTGTATTTTGTTTGGGTACTCTTGGGATATTGCTGACCAGGACTTAGGGGACAGTATCAATATACAGATGGCCCCTCTGTCTCTGGTCACTTATAGTCTTGGATGCAGGGCCATGAAAGGACAGCAAGGACAATGCCCAATGTCCTAACCCACCCAAGAACATACGATATCTTTAGGGAACACCTGAATGGGAACATATTTAGCCACTTCTGCTTTCTCCCTTCTTATCTACAGTGTGCCAGACTTACTGGGTGAAATCTTTATCTTATGTGTGTCAGCTTTGCTGGATGGGTTGCTTACGTAATTATACAGAATAAATACAGGGATTTCTTGTCATTCTTTGCTCCTCTCATTTAGAGGGATCCGTCTCTATTCAGCTGAATAAACACGTAAACCTGAAGGCAACTTCTAGTTTCCTGTATTTCTTTAACCAGCAAAACCTCAGAACCTGCATATCAATATTGAGAGAGACTCCTTCACAGATACTCTGACTTCTTTATTAAAAAGGAAAACAAGGTAACGAGAATGAGATGAGGCCATTTTGAAACAGAATCAATAATATTTGGGTTCCCACATGTCCATCCAGGCTATATGAGATACTGTAATATTAGGTTCACACGGTCCATGGATGAAAGATAGAACTTGACTTCACCTTCTCTGTGGTGACTTCTCAGGGCACAGACTGAAGCCTATGTACCACAGTACAAAACTGAGTGAGCAGTACAAATGCATGTTGTAGTTAGTCTTATAGAGAGACTGGATGAGAGTAGAAACACGGGAGAAATATAAGAGGGGAAGGTGAGTAGCTCAAGAGGAAGGGAAGACTGATAAAGTTGTGGTTAGATGGAATTGGAGAGATGCTGAAAAAAAATGAAGTGAGAAGTTCTTAAAGAATCCATAGGCAACTTATAAAGCAGTATATGGATGTCATGGAAGCAAGGATGGTTTCAAGAGAGTAAATGAAGAGAAGGACGAGGGGTGACATGACAGCACTGTTCTAATATCTCAGGGGTTGCCACAAAGAAGAGGGAATCAAGCTATTTGCCAAACTTTATTATTATTATTTATTACTATTATTATTATTAAATGGGAGGCACAGCTAGTCCATAATGAGATTTTTTTATCTGCAGGACTTTCGTTTTCAAAATTTTAAAACGCTTCCATAGAGCTTGTTGGATGAAATTATGCTGTCCATAACTGAGGTTCTACAGGAAAGGAACTTTTTTTTCTATTACTCTATTCCCCCTCCCCCTTTCAAGGATTGCTCCAGATTATGGAAATGGGTTCTTGGTGTGAGACTCTGACAGGCAGGGCTGCATGTGATGGGAAATGGGAGGAACGTTGGGTTATTTGCAAGAAGTGCTACACATCCCACTTAAGAGTGTGTATAAATGGGATCCAGTCCTTATCCCTGAGAGTCTGGAGACTTTGGGCAGAGATCAATCCCAGCCTGCCTTGATCTCTTTGAGAACGACTCCTGTTAAAAAAAAAAGCAACTAGGTCTTTATGTGCAGACCCTGTCTGGCTGGGGAATTGTAGAGGTTGCAGTCCACATACCCAGTGCTTTTTTTTTTTTGAAAAAAAAAGGTGCTGGAACTCATGTATAACAACCCGCCTTGCCTACCCTACAAGGTTCCATCCAAAAAAGGTGCAGGAAGTCCATTCTGGGCGTTCTGTGACAAAAAAAGCCCTGCATGTGCCTGAAAAGCTGCCAAGTTTCAGAAACACTGTTTGTTTTACAGTGTCTGCCAGAGATTTGCAAAAAACGAAACTTAAGTACAAAAATGTACTTCCTTTGTCTTGTAAATCTGCTTTTGATTTTAAAGTTGGCATCTGAAGGAAACTCGAATTTTGATAGGCAGGATTCCAGTCATGCAAAATGGGAGGAACATTTTTAATATTTGACGAAATAATGCAATAGAAATTAAGAAATATTGAAGTGAGATTCAGTCCTTCTGTTTGGAGGACCCTGGATAATTTTAGAAGAGATCACTCCTAGCATGTGTAGAGATATTTGAGAATTATTCCTTCTAGAAAAGCAAGTAAGCTTTTGTATATATTCTTTCCACTCTCTAGATTGGGTTACTGTAGATTTTGTATTCTCTTTTCTTTTTCACTTGAACTTCCTATAAACTAACCTTCAACGCCATTTCCTTTTGCACCAAAGAACGTGTGCACTGTGCCTAGGAATTTCTAAGCGGCTGAAAACCCTTCAGGAAATGCATGCACCCTTTGCCCCTCATTTCTGGGCCCAAAGTTTTTTTTGTGGGGGGGGAATCAGCTGTAGAAGCCACAAACTTTTCAGAATAGAACAGAACAGAATAGAATAGAATAGAATATAGAATAAATATAGAATATAGAGCAAACCAGGGCAATGGGAGGCAAAGCTAGTCCTCATTCTGCCCACCCACTCTCTCCTCCATGCTTCCTGAGACCTTCCATAATGAATCTACTGAATGCTAATACTTTTCTCAAGATAAAGTGACAACTTGAGGAAGGAAGCAAAAATATGCTCAATTTGTACGGAGGAATCTCTTGGGCATTCTGTTACCCTTACACTCTTACCCAAAGGTGGATCAATCAATCAATCAATCAATCAATCAACCAACCAACCCACCAACCAACCAATCAATCAACCCATCAATCAACCAACCAATCAACCAGTCAATCAACCAATCAACCAACCCACCAACCCACCAATTGTATAGTGTGTGGAACAGCCTCACTCTTTCCATCCTAGAGTGAACCAAGGTGGACACAGTAGGGACTGGAGATGGCATAAACTATTTTTAACTTATTTCCTGCTCTTTTCTTACAGCCTTCCTTTAATTTCCTTTGCTTGTCAGTCTTTTTCTGCATTTTGGATGAAAACGGTTATCCTGCCAGGAAATAATGAAATTTTTCATCGACCAATCTTTCCTTTCATTTTCAAAGTGTTAAAATACTTTCTTCGAGCTTGTTGCATGAAATTATTCAACAATAACTGATGTACTACAGTAAAAAAAAAAACAACTTTAGGTACTGCTCTTTTTTTGGATAGATCTGGATCTTGGAAATAATTTACTGGGTGAGGGATTCTGATAGGCAGAACTGCATGCGATAAGAAATGGGAGGAGTATTTGATTATTTGCAAAAAGCAATGCTTCTACCAATCTAATGGTCCAAAAACATGCGAATACAAGTCGTTAAATAGGTACCACTTTAGTAGGGAGGTAACAGCATTCCATGCACCTTGGCATATAGTCATCCTGGCCACATGACCACAGAAATGTCAATGGACAATGTTGGCTCTCTTTGTTAGGAAACAGAGAAGAGCACTGCCCCTAGAGCTGGACATGACTGGACAGAGGAAAACTTTACCATTGACTTTTAAAGTGGCTCTACAAAATAACAGTTGGAAGGGACCTTGGAGGTCTTCTAAACCACCCCCCTGCTCAGGCAGGAGATCCTATCCCATTTCAGAAAGATGGCTGTTCGATCTCTTCTTAAAAACCACTCTGCCTTGCCAGGGACTTAGGGGTTTTGGAGTTCTTCCAAAATCTGGGGAATGGTGTGTTGAATTCCTGGGGAAGGCGGTGGCAGTTAAAGTTCATACATCTGAAAAGTTTAGTTTTGTTTTTTCAAGAATTTGAAAGTTAAGACAGACCAAAGCTACTTTCGTTTTCTTTAAAGGAAATAATTGACATCAGCAGGAAACTGGGAGTCTGATAGGCCAAGCTGCTTGTGATAGAAAACGGAAGGAATTTTTTACTATTTGTGGGGCACACAGCACACAGCATTTAAGGGTTCACTATATAAAGGGGTTCAGTCCTTCTCTCAAGGAGACTGGGGACATCGGACAGAGACCAGTCCCAACCTGCATGGACATCTTTGAGAATTACTCCTTTTATTAAAGCAAGTAATGATTTGTGTATACCCTTCCCCTGTCTAGGTTTAGCTATTGTATATTTTGTATTCTTGTTTTTAAAATCTATTATCTCTGCAGATTCTGTTGATCGTCCTATAAAGCAGCCTTAGATACCATTTTCTTTTCTACTAAAGGATGTGTGCCTTCTGCCTAGGAATCTGTGAATGACTAAAGATGCTTCAGGTCTGCAAGAATGATTTCAGCTTTAGGATTTAGACCAGATAGGAAACATGAGCAGAATGGATACTTAAAGTGTCCAACTTAGCAGATATGGCGAAGATCTCCGCCTATTTGAAGGACCATTCACAAGAAAGATATATTATGGTTTGGAGAAGATGGATTGATTATATTCAGAAGAAATATGAATATGAATATGAAAAGTATTATCTTGCTTTTGAGTAGATTTTAGATAATTATTAATAGTTTTAATTATATCATTATTTTGACTTAATTTGTTAATATTTGTATTGATAAGGAGTTAAAGTGTCTTATGGTTTTGATTGATAGTATAGTTGGTTTATCTTAGTTGGATTATATTGGTTTATTCTTTTGTTTTACCCTGTAATCAGCTCTGGGAAGTGGGAGTAGGGGGGGTTTATATTCTAATAAATTTATAAAACTTTTAATAAAAAAAGGAAACCTGAGCAGATGAGCTAATTCTACATTAAAATTTAAATCCTGCTTGTGAATTCTTCCTCCTCTCCATAGCAGTCTCTACAATGTAGAAACATTATTTGCATATTGACCACAACAATCTGGGTCCTCATTTTACCAATCTTGGAAGGATGGAAAGCTGAGTCAACCTTGAGCCCGTCAGGATCGAACTGATGGCAGTGGGAATACAGAGTTAGCTTGCAACGCTGCATTCTAATCATATGTCCAAAGTAGGATAATTTGAGTTTGGACATTTGAGCCTCGGTGAATACTCTGGGTTGATTTGTTTGATGAACAAACATTGGTTTGTTTTCTTGGTTGTCCATGGTATTCTCCGGGGGTCTTCTCCACCCCCCCAAAGTACAAAGTGCCTGACATAGCTGAGAAGCAGCCCAATGTCTTTTTTCTTTTCCAGATAGTCTGCACAGAACAAAGAGCAACTATGGGCAATGAAATTACAAGGGACTCTCTATGGCAGTGTTTCCCAAACTTGACAATTTTAAGGCATGTGGACTTCAACTCCCAGAATTCCACAGCCAGCAATGCTGGCTGTGGAATTCTGGGAGTTGAAGTCCACATGCCTTAAAATTGTCAAGTTTGGGAAACACTGCTCTATGGGGACAGTTTGAAGAATTCATGAGAAATTTGAGTCAAGGTAGCGTTCATGAAATGGTGGTGGTGGTGGCAACTGGGCAGGCAGGGGCAATCCTCCTTTGTCAATGCCATCTGGGGTGTAAGGGATGATTGATAGATGAGACGTACAAACCTTGGTGCCAAAGGCATATCCTATTTTTCCAAATACTGTATTATAATATGGGACCTTCCAGGGATTGGAACATCCAGGTTTAAAGCAGTGGAATATCTGCAGAAAGTCCAATTTCAAAGATATGATGCCTTTATTATTATCATTTTACTGAAAATGATGCTTTGCTGGCCAAGGAAATTCAAAGAATGAGGAAGAGCATTTAAATTCCACTTACAGTTAGGCTTATGTCACCATGAACTCATAGAGCAAAATGGACATTGCCAACAAACAGACATGGGTATAGTTAGGAGTGCACTGACTTTTCTAGCCTGCCCTATCTATGTTTCCTAGTAAAATACATGAGAAAATCCCAATGGTGGAAAATTTCACTTACGATTAGCGTTAGGTCATCATGAACTCAGAGAACAAAATGTGTGAGTACCAAAATAGATGCCAATATCAACAGTGAAAAGAGGGAAAAGAATTTAATTAAGGAGAAAACCCTGGCAATTATAAGGAAATACTGTGAAGATCAATTGAGAAGGGCAGGTGGACTTTCCGCAAGAATATTTCTGATTTCCAATTGGGATAGATGAGTATGATTTCCCTCTCCTGCAAGAGACCCTGGCTGCTGAACTTCCTTACTACAAGAAGCGTATTTCAACAACGGCTGTGCAGACTTTCTCAGAAAATGAACCGAGGAGGAAAAAAGCTGAAATAACATCATATATGAAGAAGGTAGCATTGGTCTCTTGTGCTTGTGGAGCAGTGCCTGCTCCAGGTCTCTCTATCCTTTGTGATATTCCAATATTACTGGGTGGTCTGAAGTGTATCTGCAATGCATTTGGTCTAGACGACAAGTCACTTCATTTGCTGGCACTTTATACCGGAAAAGAATTTGAAGAGTTGAAGTGAGTTTCCTTCAGATGCCAACTTTAAAATCAAAAGCTGCTTTACAAGAAAAAGGAAGTACACTTTTGCACTTAAGTTTCATTTTTTGCAAATCTCTGGCAGACACTGTAAAACAAACTTGGCCGCTTTTAGTGTTTCTATAATTCAGAACTGCACATAGACCTACTTTTAAACAGTCGTATCAAGTGGCAGGGCCTTCTTCCTTTTCCTCCCTTTCTCTTTATTTTCACTGATCAACAACCCTCTACAATTCCCCAGCCAGACATGGGCCTGCTGGCACACTGCCTTGGCCCTAATGTAGAACCTAGTTCAGCTTTTGTTAACACAGGAGTGCGCTGGGGAGGTCTCAGAGAAAGATCAAGTGGGCAAAGGGCCTCTTTTCCTTTCTTCAGATCTCCCTTTCTCTTTATTGAGGTTCATTTCTTCTTTGCTTTTCTTTTATTTTCCCCCTTTCACCTATATTTTTCCTTTTCCTCCCTTTCTCTTTATTTTATTTTATATTTTGATCAACTAACTAAGATTTCAATACAAAAAAGAAAAAGAAATGGGCCATCAATACTCTGTAATTCTGAGTGTGTATCTCTGGGGTCAGGAATTCACTGTGATAAACCACGATTAGCCACTCCATAGGCTACAGCAGATGAAGGATACAAATTCCCAGTTTATCAGGTGATATCTTACATCACAAGCCATACCACTTCACTACTACACATCATGTAGGACATCAAAATGTCATCACTGACTTCCCACAAGGTATGGGAAGGACACTGGCACTAGCCTTGTACAAAGTAAAGAAAAACAAATCAAAGTTTAATGATGTTTATTAAAAAGGGAAAGGTATGGGAGAGGACAGGGCAAGATGGCCAGCACCTGAGTTGTTGTTACCCTGTCCCTTTAAGAGGTCATGGTTTTTATTGAAATTTTTATAAACATTTTACACTAAAATCCCTCCTCACATTACCCTGAATACAGAGCTAAAAACAACAAAGTAAAAAGACCCCTTTAAATTACAAATCAAATCTAAGCATAACAACTTTATACAATAAGTTATTCAAAAGCTAAATAATACTTTCTAATCCCATATTTGTTCTGTTTACCCATCTTTTCCATACAGAGTTATATCTCTCTTGTGAAGTCTTTCAGATAAGCCAATATTTTGGCCATTTCTGATAAATAAGAAACTTTAAAAAACCATTCCTCTAATAGGCAAGGGTCTTTTCTCCAATATTGCCCAATCAATAACCTTGCTGCCGTAATAAAATTCAACATTAAAATAATCTCTTTGCTATCACAATCTTCAATAATATAACAAAAATAATTGTGGTGCTATTAAAAAGAATATTCCACCAAATCTTAATGCCTTTATATTTCTACAAGACCACCAGTTGCATCCATACAACCACATCTCCAACCTGTAGATTAGAATACATACGAGACATCTTTTGTGGATCAAGGTGTATAAAAATTTTCTCGTAAATTTTGAGCTTGGGTAAACTTAGCATTCCTCACCCAAATTATCTAATAGATCGGCTCTTCAGTAACCAGACAATCCTTAACTAATTCTGTTTCTGAATCCATAGATGAGACCAATAGAAATAAGAACTCCAAGGAAATTGCTTTCTTCAAAGAAAACATTTAATGGCTACATAGTTTTGGCACGAACAAAGGTAAAACCAAGACTGAAAGTTCCCACTCCCCAAGGTTACAAAGTAATAAGTTGAACTTCCCACTCCTGCAATTGTCATAACTCACAATCTCCAATTAATTACTTTGGGGGCTTTCTAATGGAAACTTCAGCCTACCAAAACTTAGGTAGCTTGACCTTGGTTCTCACAGAACAGTTATTGTTATGTCTAAAATAAAAGAATACATCTCTCCCCTCCCAATGCTATTGTAACCGAAAACGAAGTGAAGATTGCGAATTGCCTTCTCAAAGCAGGTCCTCCAAAAGTCCACGCAGAAGGTGATTCTACAGTAATGATCAGAAACAACATTGAAGCCTCAGGGGTAATTAAAAAGGAGTTTTACAAATGTTTCAGATTCTTTTTTATTTATGGATGCCTCGTATGTTGTTTTGCAGAACCTCCCTGCCAGACAATTGTGTTTCTTGAAGAAGAGATCACTGTTTTTCTAACTTCTGTGCCTAACTCATCATCATGCAGCTTCTCCTGGGGCTTTGCTTCTTCTCCGTCCTCCTGACTACAGGTATGGTCAGCGTTGTCCTCCTGGGGTGTGTGTGTCAATGAAACTAAGGAGGATCTTCCGCCCTGGCCAATTGGGGTTTGCCTAGGCACTATGAAAAGCCTCAACAACTCCTCAAAGATGGAGTGATTTGCTGGAAAAAAAATTAGGTGTAGAGTCAGAGTACACCAAAGTTTATCAAAAAGAATTTAACTCAATTCTCTTCAAGAGCGAATTAACTACACTCATGGCCTTTCATATGACCACGTTAGCCCCGGAATAACCAGTAAGCAAAATAAGCACATGTTTAGGACACCAAGGAAAAGGAGGCACCACAGATTTCCTCCCTGGTTACACGGATGAAATAGTTAATTTTTCTTAAAATATTTCATTGCCACTCTTCACTTTATTTGGTGTTTTTTCACACTTTCTTTCTCTGCTTTGTTTGACTTCAACCTGCATTGTTAAAAGGATGTTTTCCTTTCATTCCAGATGTCCATTCTTGGGACATGAGTAGGTCTTAATCACGCCCTGGGTCAGGTAAATGAGTGAGGGTCCTGAGGTAGGCCGTTCATTTATTTACTAAATTTGTTTTTCCACCTATCTCACCACAAGGTGAGCTTCAAGACCACATAACCTGACCAGAATGTCTCTCTTTAAAAGTAAAATTTTATAACCCTGCTACTTCTCAAATTTTCTCTTCAACTTGACAGGTGAAAAAAGGCTTCAGATTTTTCATTCATCAAATTTATATACCACCCATCTCACTCTCACAGTGACTCTAAATGGTTTATAGCATAATAGTTTTTATGAAAGAAACAACAGTCAGTTTAGGAAAACAACAAACTTCCTACACCTTCTTTCAAAAGCAGCCTCCATTTTATTCCCAGCTTGGAACTGCACCTGATTTTTCTTTGAACACTTTCTTCCTATTTCTAACTTGCTACTTCTGCCAGGAATTTTGATAGGGTCCAAATGGAAGAAAGATTTGTTTTTGCTTTCTGTCTAACTTGTGCTTCTTCTTACTTATTCTTCCCCTCCCTGCCTGGATTTAGTAGCGTACAACTACCTCATGATGGCTTCTGCTTTGTAGAAGAATTCTTCATTGTCAATTTACCTCAATATGGCTCTGATTGTGTCTCAGCATCATCTCCACTGGCCAGCCCAGCTACGGCTGCTGAAAGTCCTGGTTCAGTAATATTGAAAGTGTCTCTGATTCCCTGTCCCTGCCTTACTCTCTCAGCTCCTTTCCACTTTTTCTTTTCTTTACAGGTAGTTCCGTACAGTGTTCACATTGTATTTCACTTTATGTACCTTGCTCTGGTGCAAAGGAAGAATGTCCTGCTGGGGCTGATGTCTGTATGAATTTCAGTTTGCAACATAAAGAAAAGAAAGGTATGTAAGACAAGCCACATAAATCTGATTGATCCTATGCCATCTAATTGGTGAGGGTCCTTCAGCTCTTCCAACAATGCCCCCATCCTCACTGTAATAAAGTCCATCCAACTTGCTGCTGGTTGTTCTCCTTTCTTCTGCTTTTCCTGCAATAAGGGGATTTCCAGAAAGGTGGGTCTTCACGTCATTTTCTGAAGAATAATATTTGACCCTCGTCATGTAAATAGTATTGGAAACCTGTATTTGGGTGGGTGGAAGAATTCCTTTAAGTCTGAATGATGGCTCTGATCATTGATGTTTCCTTCTTCCTTCAGAGATACATGCCAACTTTGAAACTTGCGCTACAAAAAAGTATTGTAAGAAAGTGGAAGATCTGATAGGGAAGCCTTCCCCTGAAGTCATGGCTGCCATACCTGGTTTCCCAGGAGACGTTACAATTAAAGAGGTCATCTGCAGCAAAGCCCCTCCCTCCTTTGCATCGTTCTTCCCAGCATTCCTTGGGCTCCTCCTGATGAAGCTTCTCTTCTAAAGCTCCTCCTTCCACCCAAGAAGTTGTCCCCTTTCCTTGGCCTGTACATCCTCTCAAACTGATGAGGCAGGATCTTTGATATGATGCTTAATCTTTTCCCAAACAGAAACCAGTTAAGCAGAAAGAAATATAATCAGCAGCTTTGAATGTGTGTTTGAACTAAAAAAAGATGGTGTAATTCAAATACCCCCCCCCCAATAAATAATAGGATTCCATTCGTTGCCTGTTTCTTTTGATTTGGTGTAGAAAAAAAAATCCATGTCTTCCATTCTACAAGAAAGTTTGCTATTCCCTTCTTTGAGATTTGATTTGATATTTATTTAGTGTAGGGCATCTACAGAGGTCATGCAATTAATAGAATAGAATAGAATAGAATAGAATAGAATAGAACAAAATAGAATTCTTTATTGGCCAAGCGTGATCAGACACATAAGGAATTTGTGTTCAGTGAATAAGCTCAGAGTGTACATATAAACAGCAAGTAATAGGTCATAAATCATAATTACACGTATTAATCATCAATTACAAACAACAATTGATAAATCATAAGAAACCAATAGGAGAAGATAGTAGGAAAGATGAGAAGATGAGAAAAGATGAGAAATGAGATGGTGCTGTGGGAATTAAGTGTTCAGCAGAGTGATAGCATGGGGGGGGGGACTATCTTTATGTCTAGTTGTTTCAGCATGCAAAGCCCTATAGTGGTATCCAGAGGGGAGCAGTTGAAATAAATTATGTCCAGGATATGAGGGCGTTTGTAGATATTTTCTCAGCCCACTTTCTGGTTTGTGCAGTATGCAGATTCTCAATGGAAGGCAGGCTGGTTGTGATTGTGTTTTCTGCAGTCCTAATTATCTGCTGAACTCTGTACGTGTCCTGTTTGGTTGCTGTGCCAAACCAGACAGTTATAGAAGTACAAATAACAGACTCAGCAATTCCTCTGTAGAACTCTATCAGCAATGATGCCTTCTTCAGGTTTACACTGGATGTTTTGGCTAGATTTTGATGTAGATCAGACATGTCAAACCCAAGGCCTGGGGGCCAGATGCAGCCCATTATGTGGTTTCATGTGGCCCGCAAAGCCATTTTGGAAACAGTGAGGGAACGGTCCCCGCTGCTTTGGCCCTGGCCCTGGCTGGCCAGGAGCCAATGTACAATTTTGTGGTGGCCATCTATGCTGAAACACATTCAGTCTTAGCTCCATAAGGCCATCTGGAAACAGCGAGGAACCAGCCCCTGCGCATCGGCCCCGTCCCCTGGATACATGCACCCTTGACATGAATGATGTAGAGCTGGCCACGCCCACCCAGTAGGCTGCACCTACCCTGGCCACACCTACCTGGTCGCCTGAGGGCAACAGCAATGCTGATGCGGCCCTCAATGACATTGAGTTTGACACCCCTGATGTAGATAATCAAGTGCGTTGAATAAAAGTTGGCATTGATATTTATACAAAAAGAGTTTCTTTGCTATTTACATTTTAGTCTGTGTGATTTCTTTCACAAGGTTATGTTCAGTCTTGGTTGATTAGATATGTCATTTTTGGTACAAGATGACATTTGTCATATTAGTACGAGGTTATAATTGTCATGTTTATTGGTTTTGGTTACTGATTGTGAATCCTCGAACCTTTCCTAATCCCATCTCATTGTTTGCTCATCCGTTTCACAAGGAATCTGGCAAAGGGGAAGCTTAGACAGTGGACTGGGCAATCCAATCAGTTCTAACATTTGGTGGGTTGTTCCTACATAGTTTGGTTAATTACTGGCTGATTTGGTGTTGAAAACCTTTTCTTATGAATGGGATTTACTTTGAAGGTTTCCATCATTTTATATTCTTAAGCTGCCATCAGGCTATGATCCCCATATGTCCCCACCCTGGCTACACAGAAACCACAATAAATACCAGGTTCACGTGCTCACTACAAATTAAGTGACCAACACAAATGTATATCATAGTGCTTTAGTAAAATAGAGGGGATGAGGATAGAATCCCAAAGGAAATATAAGAGGGAAAGGTGGATAGGTCAAGAGGAAGGAAAGACTGAGAGAGTTGTGGTGGGATGAAGATGTTGAAGACCCTCAAAAAAAGAGGTGAGAAGTTCTTAAAGGAGCCATAGGCAACATATAAAGCAGTTATGGATGTCATGGAGGCCAGAATAGTTTCAAAAGAGCAAACTAGGGCAATGGGAGGCAAAGCTAGTCCTCATTCTGCTCACCCACCCTCTCCTCCATGCTTCCTGAGACCTTCCATAATGGATCTACTCAGTGCTTTTTTTCTAAAAAAGGTACTGGAACTCACACATATCATACCTTTGCCTACCCTTTGCCTACCCTACAAGGTTCCATCCCAAAAAGGTGCAGAACTCCATTCTGGGTGTTCTATGAGAAAAAAAGCCCTGGATCTACTGAATGCTATACTTTTCTGAAGATAAAGTGACAACTTGGGGAAGGAAGCAAAAATGTGCTCAATGTGTATGGATGAATGTGTAGGGCATTCTGTTACCCTTACGCTCTTATCCAAAGGTGGATCAATCAATCAATCAATCAATCAACCATCCAACCAACCAACCAACCAACCAACCAAACAAACAACCAACCAACCAACCAACCAACCAACCAAACAACCAACCAATCAACCAACTCACCAATTGCATAGTGTGTGGAACAGCCTCACTGTTTCTATCCCAGAGTGAACCAAGGTGGACACAGTAGGGACTGGAGATGGCATAAACTATTTTGAACTTATTTCCTGCTCTTTTCTTACAGCCTTCCTTTAATTTCCTTTGCTTGTCACTCTTTTTCTGCGTTTTGGATGAAAATGGTTATCCTGCCAGGAAATAATGAAGTTTTTCGTGGACCAGTCTTTCCTTTCATTTTCAAAGTGTTAAAATACTCTCTTCGAGCTTGTTGCATGAATTTATTCAACAATAACTGATGTACTACAGCAGCAGCAACAACAACAAAACTTTAGGTCCTGCCCTGTTCCCCACTCTTTTTTGGGATAGCTCTGGATTTTGGAAATAATTTACTGGGTGAAAGATTCTGATAGGCAGAACTGCATGGATAAGAAATGGGAGGAGTATTTGATTATTTGCAAAAAGCAATGCAAATAGCCCTTAAGAGTATATAAGGGGGTTTCAGTCCTTCTCTCTGAAGAATTTGGAGACTTTGGGCAGAGATCGATTCCAAGCTGCGTGGACATCTTTGACAGCTACTCATTTTAGGAAAGCAAGTATGCATTTGTGCACTCCCTTCCCCTCTCTTGGTTTAATTATTGTAGATTCGGTACTCCTTGCTTTTAAATTCTAATCTCTTTTCAGTTTTTGTTGATCTTCCTATTAAGTAGTCTTCAATACCATTTCCCTTTGCACTCAAAATGTGTGCCCTGTGCCTTGGAATCTGCGAATTGCTAAAAACCCCTCGGGGTTAAGGGTTAAGGAAATGAATGGCACCCTTCCCCTCAATTTTCTGGACCCAAAGTTTTTTTGTGGGTGGCTCTGAGGAATCAGCTGGAGAAGCAGCAGACAGTTCTCCCCTGCATTTAATGATGCCTTCTTCGGGTTTACACTGGATTTGTAGGCTGGACTTTGGTGTAGATAATAACTGGATTGAGTTATGTTTGTGCCAGGCAGTGATTTTATTAATAAGAAAGGAAGACAATAGAATATGCATCAAAAGAAAAAGCCCATGGGTTTTGAGTGATGTCAGGGGGAGGGATTGGCTTAGCCTGGCTGGGGAGGAGAACATCTGGAAAGCTTCTCCCTTGTTACTGGGTTTTCTCCCCCCCCCACTTTGGACATTGCCCCAGGCTTATTGGTGTTGCGATTATCAAAGGCACCAGTTGTAATGGTCTCTGGAATGACCTTGGGAGACAGGGCAGCGACATACAGGAGTGGGAACAGTCAGGTAAAGGGCAGCTCAGCCCAGACCAGCAATGGAGCTGGAAGAAGACGCCCAGGAGAGAGAATGCCTAGTTTTCTGGCAAAGAGGAGAGAGGATGGGGACTGAAGTACTTTCAGGTTTGCAAGATTGATGTCAATTTAGGACAGTGGTTCTCAACCTTTTTAATGCCGCGACCCGCCCAACCGGTCGTAAGTCGAGGACTACTCAACCGGTCGTAAGTCGAGGACTACTCAACTGGTGCAGCACCATTTGCAGAATGGGACTTTTGGCGGGCTCGGCAGGGCAGAGGCAGCCTGGACAATTCCTACTGGCTTTTGAAAGTCAATAGAACTAGACTCTATTCAAGAGAGTCTATTCTATTGGCTTTCAAAAGCCAATAGAATAAAAGGGAGTAACACAGCTAAGGAAAAGGGGGGAAAAAATGGCGTACTGCGTTGTTTGGCGACCCCCGTGAAATGGTCGTTCGACCCCAAATGGGGTCCCGACCCACAGGTTGAGAATCACTGGTTTAGGAGTTAGACCAGATAGGAGACATGACCAGATGAGCTTATGAGACCCTTGCAAATCTGAAAGTGCTTCAGTTTCCCTCCCCTTCCCTCTTTGCAACCCCCCCCCCCAGGGATTGTCTCTTCTGAGTGTCTGGCCTCACCCACATTCCCCCTGCAGACTAAGCTGCCATTTATCTGCCTGTTTCCTTGGTTGCCTCTTGTTGCCGTGTCCTGCAAGTTCATTCCCTGTTTCTTCTGCAGGACAGTAAAAATTCCTGGAAGATCAGTTCTCAAGCCTCAGGGTCCCAACAGCAAATGTTAGAGGTTCAGAGGAGATTGCCTGAGCCCTGTGGGAGGAGGCTGAGCCCCCCACTCTGCAACAGTGGCCAAAGGATCTCAGAGGTAACAAAGCTCCTACAGAAGCTTCAGTGAATCTGACGCTGGGTGGCTCCAGACTGATATCCGTGGAATGGAGGTCCTCCCTTAAATAAGGGGTCCTCAAGCTGGGCAGCCCTGATCTGGCTGGGGAGGACTCTGTGGAGAACCATAGAGATGACTTTGGAAGACTACCCAATGACAGTTCAGAAAACAGGATTTAAGGCAAGGAGAGGAAGAGAACATTGGAAAGAAACTTAAGCTGATTCCTCCTTCACTGTCCTGGATGCAGGGAGGAGGGACTTTATTTATTTATTTATTTTATGAGACTTATATACCGCTTTAAGTGCAAGCACTCTCTAAGCGGTGTACACCAGTAGGCAATGTATAAGCAATGTATGTGTGTGTGTGTGTGTGTGTGTGTGTGTGTGTGTGTATATATATATATATATATATATATATATATATATATATATATATATAATATATCTATATATATATTTAATATAATAATAAGAATAGTAAAGTTGGAAGGGACCTTGGAGGTCATCTAGTCCAACCCCCTGCTCGGGCAGGAAACCCTCCACCATTTCGGACAAATGGCTGTCCAGTCTCTTCTTAAAAACTTCCAGTGTTGGAGCATTTACTGCTTCTGGAGGCAAGCTATTCCACTGATTAATTGTTCTCACTGTCAGGAAGTTTCTCCTTAGTTCTAGGTTGCTTCTCTCCTTGATTATTTCCACCCGTTGCTTCTTGTCCTGCCTTCAGGTGCTTTGGAAAATAGCTTAATTCCCTCTTCTTTATGGCATCCCCTGAGATATTGGAATACTGCTATCATGTCCCCCCTTGTCCTTCTCTTCGTTAAACTAGACATACCCAATTCTAGCAACCGTTCCTTATATGTTTTAGCCTCCAGTCCCCTAATCATCTTTGTTGCTCTTCTCGTACTCCTTTCTAGAGTCTCAATCAACAATCTTTGTTACATCGTGGTTGACAAAACTGGATGCAGTTTCCCATGTGTGGCCTTCACCAAGGCCATTAAGAGTGTTATTAATCTTCCACGTGATTTGATTTCTATTACCTCTTTTAATGCAACCTAGCACTGTGTTGGCCTTTTTGCACGCTGCAGCACACGCTGGCTCATATTTAAGTGATTGTCTACTAGACTCCGGGTCCCTCTCACAGTTACTACTATGATCATGGTTGCGCACCTATGCTGTACTTTGTGCATTTGGTTTTTCTTGCCTAATGTAGAACCTTACTTTTTTCACCATTGAATTTCATTTTGTTAGATAGTGCCCAGTGTTCAAGTCTGTCCAGGTCCTCCTGTATCTTAAGCCTGTCTTCTGGAGTGTTGGCTATTCCTGCCAGCTTGGTGTCATCTGCCAATTTGATGAGTTCCCCATCTATCCCTTCATCCAAATCGTTGATGAAGATGTTGAAGAGTACTGGGCCCAGAACAGAGCCCTGGGGCACCCCACTACACACTTCCCTCCATATAGATTCAGTTCCATTGAGGACCACTCGCTGAGTACGGCCGGTCAGCCAGCTATGGATCCATCTGGTGGTGGTTCTGTCTACCCCACATTTTTCTATCTTGTCAAGTAGTATGTTTTGATCTACTTTATCAAATGCCTTACTGAAGTCCAAGTAAATTATGTCCACAGCATTCCTCTGATCCACTAATTTTGTCACTTGGTCAAAGAATGCAATAAGATTTGTCTGGCATGATCTATTTTTGACAACCCATGTTGGCTTTTAGTAATGACTTTGTTTGATTCGTTGTTGATATCTTTCAGATCTTCCGAGGTATGAGGTCAGGCTGATAGGTCTGTTTAATTTCCTGGATCATTTTTTTCTTTTTTGAGATGGGAACTTACATCAGCTCTTTATCCAGTCCTCTGATAGTTACCCTGTGTGCCAGGTCTTTGAAAATATAGTTCAGTGCTCCGATATTAATCTGCAGTTCCTTGCGAACTCTGGGTGGTAACCCATCTGTCCCTGGTGATTTGAAATCATCTAGGCCTGGACAGGTGCTCCTAACCATTTCTTGCCTATCTTAACTTGTGTTTCTATTCTGTTTTTTATGGCACTATTTTTGGTAGGTTGGTCTGTTTTTCCTCTTTGTGTAAAGACAGATGCAAAAAACGAGTTAAATAGTTCTGCTTTCTCCCTGTTGCTTGTCACCTTCTTGCCACTTTCACCCACTAATGGACCAATCATTTCCTTCACTTTTTTCTTGTTTTTTACATGTTGAAAGAAGCTTTTTTTTTGTTATTTTGACTTTGGTCGCAAGTCTTAGTTCATTTTGAGACTTGGCTTTCCTCACTTCATCTTTGCAGGCTCAGGCTATATTTGCTGATATTCTGACTTAGTTATGTGCCCCTCTTTCCACTTTCTATACTTGTTCTTTTTATCTTTCAATTTGTCAGAGAGTTCTTTATGCAGCCATGCTGGTTTCTTTTGAGAGCTTTTATTTTTCCTCTTTGTTTGTATTGTGCTAGACTGTGCTTTTATTATCTCATTTTTCAAAATTTCCCAAGCTTCTTGAGTTGTTTTCCCCTTGAGGATTCTCATCCATGGAATCCTTCCCAAGCCCTCTCTAAGTTTATTGAAATTAGCTCTCTTGAAGTCTAAGACTCTAGTTTGACTGTGTTCTATTTGTTATGCTTCTATAATGTTGAATTCTAATATTGCATGATCACTTCCTCCCAGGGTTTCTATGGCTTCAACACCGTCTATCATTTCATCTCTGTTAGTGAGAATTAGATCCAAGATGGCTAATCCCCTAGTTCCCTTCTCTACTTTTTGGGAGACAACGTTGTCTGCTAGGTTTGCCAGGAACCTGTTTGATCTTCCACTTGGTGCGGAGTTTGTCTCCCAGGTGATGTCAGGGTAGTTAAAGTCCCCCATTACTATTGTGATGTGCTTCCTACATACCTTAGTTAGCTGACTGGCAAAAAGTTCATCTATTTCCTCTGTTTGGTTGGGTGGTCTGTAGTATACACCTATGGCAATGTCATTTCCCCCCCCTTTTATATTGACCCAAATGCATGCATATATATATATGTTTTCTGAGGTTTTCGCGGGTATTTGTATGTAGGTCTTTGGTTGTTCAGGTTTTCTCCCGCGTAAAATTGGAAGTGTCTTGGCAACGTTTCGACGAAGTCTCATTCGTCATCTTCAGGTGGTGTTTTCAGCTTCGTGCTTTGAGCAGCTAAGACCACACATTGCTGCCATAAAGCACCGAAGCTGAAACACCAGCTGAAGATGACGAATGAGACTTCGTTCGAAACGTTGCCAAGACCATTCCAATTTTACGCGGAGAGAAAACACGAAACAACCAAAGACCTACATATATATATATATATATATATAATATATATATATATATATATATTTACATTGCCCCCAACAATCTGGGTCCTCATTTTACCTACCCCGGAAGGATGGAAGGCTGAATCAACCTTGAGCCGGTGACATTTGAACCGCTGACCTGCTGAACACAGTCAACTAAAGTGGCCTGCAGTACTGCACTCTAACTGCTGCGCCACCTTGGCTCTGATGGAATCACCATCAGGCTTCCAAAGTTTTGAAACTAGAGCTTTGTAGGCATGAGGGATAATTCTTCACTTTCATTCCCCCCCCCAAAAAGTATCCTTTGTTATTTATTTTTTAAATAGATTATGTGCCACCAGGTAACTGGCCTCTCCTGGCCACCACATAAATAGATTTTCTCTTGACAATCTACCCCTAACCTGCTCTTTCAAGACTTGTAATTGTGCATTCATTGGCATTGCAATTTGCTGTTAATCGTCATCTTCTCTTCTTCCTTTCCACTTTTCCCAGCATTAGCAGAGAGCTGGGTCTTCACATCAAGTACCCAAAGTAGGATAATTTGAGCCTGGACATTTGCACCTCTGGGTTGATTCATTTGCTGATCCATTTTCTTGGTTGTCCAGAATATTCTCTGGGGTCTTCTCCAACCTCAAATATGAAGTGCCAGATGTAGCTGAGAAACATCCCAATGTCTTTCTTCCTTTCCAGATAACCTGTACAGAATAAAGAGCAACTATGGGCAATAAAATTACAAAGGATTTTCTAAGGAGAGAATTTGAAGAGTTAAAGAATGATATGAATCAAGGCAATATCCCCAAAGTGGCAGCAGAATACAAAGAACGTTTAAATGAAATGGAAAAGCTGCCCTTTAATATTGCAATTACTGGACAGACAGGATCTGGTAAATCTTCCTTTGTCAATGCCTTCCGGGGAATAAATGATGATGATGATGGGGCAGCTAAGGTTGGGCCAGTAGAAGAAACCATGAAGCCAGAGGTATATCCCCACCCTTCTTTTCCCAATATTAAATTATGGGACCTTCCAGGAATCGGAACACCTACATTTCAGGCAACGGAATATCTCAAGAAAGTCCAGTTTGAAAGATATGATGTTGTTATTATTGTTATCTCTGATCGTTTCACTGAAAACGATGCTTTGCTGGCAAAGGAAATTGAAAGGAGGAGAAAGAAATTTTACTATGTGCGTACCAAAATAGATGCCTGTATTGAAGCTGAAAGGAGGAAAAGGACTTTCAACTTGGAGCAAACATTGGAGAACAGCAGGAATTATTGTGAAGATAGTTTGAAAAAGGCAACTAAGCTGTCTGCAAGAGTATTTCTGGTATCCAACCTGCATGCACACATGTATCATTTCCCTCTCCTGCAAGAGAAAATAGCCACTGAACTTCCTGATTACAAGAAACATGTTTTAAGACTGGCTGTGCATGTTTTCTCAGAAAATGAATTGATGAAGAAAAAAGAGCTAATGAAAGCCTATATAAAGAAGATAGCATGGGTATCTTGTGCTTGTGGAGCGGTACCTCTCCCGGGTCTCTCTATAGCTTGTGATGTTGGAATTTTGATAGATGCCCTGAGACGTTTCTGTCATGTGTTTGGCTTAGACGATCGGTCCCTCCATTTTCTGGCACTTCAGACGGGAAAAGAATTTGAAGAGTTGAGGTCGGCTATCAAGAAAACCCCGTTAGCCAATACAATAAACACAGAGCTGGTATTTTCTCTCTTGATGAAGTCATCTCTTTGGGTAACTGTGTCAGTGGTGGAACTGGCTCTTGATGTTATACCTGTTATTGGTTCTCTGTTTGGTGGAGCGAGTTCATACCTTGTCACCTGTCATTTTCTGAACAGCTTTCTTGATGATGCTGTGGAAGACGCCCAAAATGTTCTGGCAAAACTTCTTGAGTGATCAGAGTCCCAGAGAAAGTCCCAAGACAACCCCAAAACCCATTTGAAGGGAACCGTCAAGCAATTCATCAAAATGAAAGCAGGGAGAAGAAAATAATAATACGCTTCAAAGCCTTATTGGAAGTATCTATCTGCTTGCTCCTTTTAGTAATTCTCTGATTGAAGTATGTGCTTGATCACCCTAGGAGGAAGTGAGTAAGTCTGTCTGCAGATATTTCCATGGGAAGTTAGAAATTAAATAATTATCCATATTGTTTTTTGAGGAATGCTTTTCTTTTCTTCTTTTCTCTCTTTGGCTTTTTTCTGTTATATTTTAGCAAAGTGGAGATTATTGTATGAAATTACAAAATTCATGATCCTTTATTTTTAAATATGAGGAAAACAACTCAACGGAGACTGTGTGGATATGTCATTAATGTTATACTTACCATTAATAGCATAAGTACAATAATTGTTTTTGGAAATATATCTCTCCTCTTAAATAAAAAGCATTTTAAAGAAAGATTCCTATTTTGTTATCCAACTATGTAACATTATCACTGCTGCCAGGAAACAGCCAAGTTCAGAATATCAAGGACCCATCATAATGCATTCAGTTCTACATATAGGTCATCTTCAGGGAGTTTTTGACTTATGACCATAACTGAGCCAGAATCTCTGTAGCTGTGAACTTAGTCACACACCTGTTAAGGGAATCTGGCTTCCCCATTGTCTTTGCTTGTCAGAAGGTCTCAAAAGGGGATCATGTGATCCTGGGACGCTTCAACCGTCATAAATATGAGTCACTGAGCATCTGAATTTGGATCATGTGACCACGGGGAGGTTGCAATGGTCATAAGTGTGAAAAACGATCACATGTCACTGCCACTGTCAGTTTGAATGGTCACTAAATGAAGTGTTGTAAGTTAAGGGCCTGTATTTTGGGTGACACACTTATTTTGTTTAAACCGTGTTCCCTCTGTTCAAATGTGTGGAAATATTTGGACTTTTCTCCTCTGCTGGTTTTCCCTGCCTTTTAGATAAGTTGAATTGCAAGAAGCCATAGAGGAATTTTCGATTCCTGACACACACACACAAACTGCCATTCTTTTTATACAGCCAATGGATTGGGATGCTTGATAGTAGCATTGGAATTGTGGTCATCCTGGAAGGGTTGGTTCCCTCTCCCAGTCAGTTTCCCCAGCCTTACTTTCCTGTCTTCATCAGAGCCTGTTTCCACTGAAAAAGGAATCACTTCTATCCTTTTCTTTACACCATTGGCCTGTAGACCGCTTTTCTCAAGGACCCATATTGTCTGTCGGACATCTCAACTTCATGCAGATTCTTAAAATAGGGGATGACTAGATAGCCATTTCTCAAAGAGGCTGTAAGGGGAGCCACAGATTGAGACAGGGGGGGGAAGGGAAATTTTATTTTATTTTTTAGAACAATTTTTATTAGTTTTTCCATTTTGCACCAACAGAAGCTTAAGAACCAACGCGGAGATATGGTTATTAATTACAAAAAGAAAACAATAGCATTAGACATATACAGTTCACACAATATTTCTTAAAATTTCTCTATCTATATATCATATTATAATCAAATTGATTCAAATAAAATCATTCATTAATATATCTAAATATAAATTCTCTTAATCAATTAAAACTTTCAACTGCGCAGTGTCTATTCTATACAAATCTATAATTTCTCACATATTTAAACTTAAACTGAAACTCTCCGTTTATTTAAGATATATTATAATCTCATTAATACATTTCTAAAACAAATTTTCATTTATATTGCTACATATGAATTTCATTAATCAATAAATGTTTAGAAGAGCTCATTATCTATCCCCAAAATCCTGTTTTACACTTTATTAATTTTTCAGATGTTAAAATTTAAACTAACCTATATATTTACTATTCAGGTACCCCAAGTTTCTCTTATTTAAATCTATTCTTTTTCAATAATTCTCCAATTAAATCTGTTCTTTTTCAATAATTCTCCAATTCCATCTCATTCCCCCCAAAAAGAACAAAGAATAAAGAGCAAAGAGAAAAGACAAAAAAAGAGAGAAAAGAAGCATATTCTTGCTACATTTCAGTATTAAATTCTAAATCATTTCATAATAGCCTCCCTTTTAACAAAATCCAAATCCAAAACAATCTGAGTCGCTATAAAACCTTTACCATCCATAATTATCATCTCAAATTTAATATTTATATCTTATTCTGGGTTTCTTCCTATTCCAAATAGGTTTCCATAGTTGAGTCTCTAGTTCTGCAGAGAGCTCTCCCATTCTTGCCTGCCACACTGAACACAGCAACAAGAGGTCTCTCATTGTCCCTTTTATTGGGCTGATATAAGAGTTACAGCTATTCTGAATAACTCGTGTCAGAACATCAGGGAGGGAAATTTTATTGAAGCAGGAGAGAAAGGAGCTTCAATTGATTCCACCTTAACTGTCCTGGGTGCAAGAGGGAGAGTGGGAGGGAAGTTCCCAGGAGGCTTTCAAGATTCAGCAACTAGATCAAGTAGAGTTCTCAGCATTGTAGTAAAACCTGTTTTTTGGCCTGGCTAACTGAGCATGCCCAGCCCCAAATTGGCCAGGTTTCTTCTAATATCTCAGTTCTAAAAGCTGCAGGAGTCATGCCCAATTTCTTTGATGAATCTTCTGTTAAGGAGGACTGCTGCAAAGGTTCAACCTGCATATTTTTTCCAATCAGCTGCTCTTCCAACTTTTCTTCCACCTTTATTTTACTTCTAAAAGCTCCACAAGTACTCAATTTCATTAATGAATCTTCTGTCAAGAGAGATTGTTGCAAAGGTTTAACCTGCATATCTTCTATCAATTGCTCTTCCAACTTTTCTTCTAATATCTCAGCTGTAGGTAATAAAGAGCCCGCCTTCAAAACAGAAGTATAAAAATCTTTCGCTTTTAAGATTGTATCAAGTCTGTAGCGTGTCCCCACATAATTCACCACTATTCCAGCCGGTATCTCCCATCTGAAACGAATCTGTCGCCTCTTAAACTCATCAGCCAGAAAAGCAAAATGCTTTCTTACTTTAAGAATTCTTGAAGGTAGTTCTTTCAGAAGTATAACATCCTGGGCTGCAATTTGAAATCTATGCTTGTAAAAGGCTTGTAAAATTTTATTACGAAGTGATCTACTAAAAAAATAAATAACCACATCTCTTGGCAAATTCCTCTGTCTTGCAACCCTTGAATTGACCCTAAAAACTTTTTCTGTCTCTCTCAATATTTCTTCAGGCTCGGATTCCAAAATAAGAGCTATATCCTTTGCAACCACTTGTCTCAAATCTTCTTGATTATTTTCCTGCATTCCTCTTATTCTTAAAGCGAACTCCATACTTCTATATTGTAACATAGTAATTTCATCCTGAATTATTTCCACCTTATCTTCTATTTTATCTTCCAACTTTTCAAAATTTTCTACAGCAACATCAATACGCTGATCCAAATGATCTATATGATCAGAAAACTTCTGAAACACAGACGCAAGATCTTCTCTCAATTTCCTAAATTTATTTTCAATAATTTCACTTATCACTTTTTCAATCCGTCGCACACTATCTTCCAAAGCGTCCTATAAGTCTTTAGGTAAAACTGCAGGTAAAGCTGAGAAAAGTGGTGGAAATTTAGACTCAACTTGCTGAGCTATCTGCATTACCGAAGAGGAGATTGAGGCTTTAGAAACAAAAGCTCCAGAATGCTTTGAAGCCATCTTAAAAAAAAGAAAAAAAAACCTCTTAAAATCTTATAAAACCTTTAACAAAAAGAGAGAGAGAAAAAAGGAGACAGAAGGAGGGGAAAAAAGACAAAAGCCCCCTGTGTATATAAAAAAAAAGAAAAAAAAAAGAAAATCGTTACATTGTTTCAAATTGAAGTTCCAGTCCTTTCACTCTTAAAAACAACATCTCAGTGCCATTTTTCACCCCTCTCAAATGAGAAAAGAGAGAAGATGAAATCTTTTCCAGAATTAAAGTCTCAAAATAATCACAGAGACACTTCCGGTGGATTTTGCGCGCGCGATGGCGGCTACTTTGTAGCCGTCTCTCCTGGGTAAGTGTAAGAACCGCTATGAACAGCAGACACCAGCTGTTCAGCGGTTCAAAATCCCCCTCCCGGGCATAGGGGGGGGGGTAGAGAGTGTCTGAATAGTGGTAGAGCCTCTTTTGCACCCCCCAAGTTTTTTTTGGGGGGGTGAAAGGAGTGCTCCCACGGAGTTCAGACTTGTCTCCGCTTCCCAGCTGTTTTTGTCCTCAGGGACAAAACGAGCCGTTGCAAACACCTCCGTGCTTAAAGAGAACTGGTGAGGTTTTTTTTATAAACGGACAGAGCTGAGTAGAGGATGTAGTTTTTGCTTTCTTTGATTTATTTGGATTTTAAGTTTTAAGACTTGCTTCTATTTTTATTCTCTCTTTTTATTTTATTATTATTTTTTTTTTCTCTGTTGAAAGGGAAAGTAAAATGGTGATCGGCAAATCTCTCGGTGTTTTTTTTTTTTTTTGAAGTTAGAATGCTGACCGGCAGGCTTTTTGGTGTTTCTTTTTCTTTCCTTTCCCTTTCCCTTTTTATTTTCTTATGATTGGAATGGTTGTTTTTGGTATCTCTAAGTATTTTTTTTTTTGGAACGGACTTTTTCTATTTAATTATTATTATTTTTTTTTTTCTTCTCCCTTCTTTTTATTGTAATGACTCTTTTTTGAAGGACTTTTTTCTGTTTAATTTTTTGCAATTTTTAAGAAGGAGTAAAGCTTTTTTTAATTCTTTTTCTCTTCCCTTTTTTTTTTCTTTTCCCTTTTTTCTTTTTATTATAATGACCTTCTTTGGAGGGAGTTATGATTTTTGAAGGAATTTTTATAATTTTTTAAGAAGGGCTAAAGGTTTTTCTTTAAGATGGCTCCAAAGCGTCCAGGGATTTCTACAGCTTCTAAATCAACAGTTTCACCCTCTTCTGGGGGTCAGCTAATAACTATGAAGGATTTGCAAAACATGATGGGAGATGTTATAATTCAAATTAGGGCAGAAATGAAAAAGATTTTAGAGGAAAATAATAAGATCTTGAGACAATATTTTGTTTTGGCTTTAGAAGGAGTTGCTTCTGTTCTTGAAAAGGTGAACTCCCATGTGGAAGAGGTAGCTGAAAAAGTGGACATAATGGAGGGGAAAATTGAAAGTATGGAAAAAGAAATGGAAAATGAGATTCTTCTGCTTCAATATGGACAAATGGAATATGCCTTAAGAATCAGAGGCCTGGAAGAGTCTTTGCAAGAAGATTTGAAAGAAATGGTTGCAAAGGACTTTGCAATGATTTTGAATAAAGAAAAAGAGGGAATACTTAGTGAAATTGAAAAATTATTTAGGGTTAACTCTGTGGTGGCAGCACAGAAGAATCTGCCAAGAGATGTGGTAATTTACTTTGGTAAAAGATCCTTACGCAATCAAATTGTGCAAGCCT